ATCATCAGTTTGCTTTTAAAGTTGATGTTTTACAAGAAGGAGCAAGAGCCGTCTGATAAGTCCCTCCACACTCTCTGCGTGAATAGAGTCAGATGCAAAACAATCGGCAGCTAGATCAGTTTGTGAAATCAAGACTATTTTATCTTGAATGTGTCTGATCTGTATTTGTGACTTCTTTCAAACTTTTTGAATCCAGTTCAACTGCAAAATGTAAGCACACCTAAGCTGGAGCCGAACCGGTTCTGCCAGGGTGCCTTTTGAGAACCAGGCCACATTTTGACGGGCCTGAAAATGTATTATGATGCAATGTTCCCAGCAGAAGTCTGAGAAACTCAAACAGAATTCACTGGTTACATCTATCGGTCACTGATGAATTTAATGAGGTAGCCCAACAGTTTTCTAGTGTCACACTGGTGCAAATCTTTAAAACTGGTTTTCGATTGGGCACTGGCATCATATCAGCAAAAAGGGGCAAAAAGGTGCCTGCAGGTGTTAGGCTACCAAAGTGGGCAGAGAAGGACAGCTGGTGGTTTAGATGTGGCTGATGGTCCACATTAGACACATGAATTAAGCTTTTATGACGGTCCAGTACCTTTGTGAGCACAAACTAGTTTAATGTCAGTGTCATGTGTATATTTTATTTGGTGTATGATTGTTAAAAGGTTAAAAGGATTCAAAGTTGTAAAAGTTGCTAATGGTTGCTTAAGTATCTCAACCAGTTAAATATGAGTGAATCAGACTCTTTTAAACATACTTTCACTTTCTTTGATTGTTTTTTGTTCAGAATAAACACAATTCGTATGAGACAGTAAATTATTTAATATTTCACAATCATGTTATAGAGATTAATTTTTTCCCCATAAGATGATTAATTGATTTCACGTATTTCATTACATAAAAATAAAGTTACACAAGAAAAATAACTAGTGGAAAAAAAACTGTGCTGATGACAAATATGAAGAAATGACAACGATAAATATTTTACTGATTCTCCTTTCAATTCTTTTTGCAGTGCTGCCGTTTCTCTGGAACACGGTGAGATCTATTTATCAATCTGCTAAGACTTCCTTTACTTCTTCCTCCTTATCTCAGTTATAACAATATATGTAATAATGATGATGCCTAACGGCGGAGGGAACAGGGGTGTAAACTATTTCCTACACCTCTGTGTACGGAGTGGTCATTGTGGAAAAGGGGTGTAGGAAGATCTGAAAAGCTACCCTCTAGTGCAGCATTGTGTTTGGAAATCTGTTTTGATTTGTTTATATTTCTCATGTTTTAGTATAAAAGGTTAAAGGTATAACATGTGTATTCTTATGGCTTATTTTGTTAAACAAATCCTGTTGTCTCTGCAGACATTGGGAGCAATGGGAGGGTGAAGGCAGAGCAATATTTGATACCAGCAGAGAGAGGACTTGGACAACTGCAGGTAAAATATGAGTGGGGAGGGAAAAATGTAACGCCACAACTTTCTATTAAAGTTTTACTGATTTTTAACCATTTAGGTGCTGAGAATGTTAATAAATGAAAGACATGTCACAATTTAATCCTAATCTAAAAATGTGCAGCCACAATGTCACATATGTCAACTGTACCATCTTGAAACATGACTTAAATTTTTGTGTTAGGTTCATCGTGTATATATCGGCAGATTAACTTTCTTTTCCAACAAATAAAAAAATTAAATCTTTGTTTAAATTTAACAAACCTCACAGTTTTTTGGAAACAAGGTTGTAAGAGTGGGAGAAAAATCATGTCCTCTCTGAGAAAATGATGATTCCTGTTTTCAGAAGCATACCAGGAAAATGCTGGAATTTATGAACCACAAAATTCTCATTAAAACACGTTTTATTAAAACAAACAAACAAACAAACAAAAACCAAACAGACATGAAACTGCAAAAACAGTTAATGCCTTTACATAAAAATTGAAAGTTTGGCTTTAAGAAGTTGTTTCATGGAAGGTTGCTTCTTCCTGCCTCCAGTCTTCAGATGCATCACGCAGGAAATTACTTCAGACACCAGGAGCTGCAGTTCCCCTCCCTCCTCTAAAGGTTCAGTGAGCATGAGTAACATTTTCTCCAACACAATCAGTTGGAGAAAATATATATTATAATAAATAATATATTATACCGTATATTCAATTTCGAAAGAAGGTTTTTAAATTTACTCTTTTCTAACCGGTTGTACCTGCCCACCAGGTGTTGTCTGATGGGCAGCCGTGCCTCTTGTTCCAGGCCAGGAAACTGTCTCTCCGCTATGACAAGCAGAAACACCTGGACCTCACAGAGCGAGCCTTTTCTCCTCAGAAACCTGTCGACACCAGTCAGTCTGTCTGTCGCAAGGACAAAGCCACGTAAGTGCACCTCCTACTTGTCTGTCTACTTGTATGAGAAATGTCAGAGGGTCTAACACGAAGATTTTAATCCCAATTAAAAGACAAGAACAATGCAGTGTGTCCTGTAAGGAAAGGTCCAGTTGTGCTGTACATCTGAGAGTCTTACTTGTCTCTTTGTTCCTCTGTAGGCTGGTCATGAGGTTTGGAAATGTGGAGGATTTGAAAGGCCTGTCCATCAGGTTAGCTATGCCACCAAATATGATCACACTAAGCAGTTTGTACACAATACATGAACATTTGCCCTGACTGTCTCCTCTCGCCTCTCTTTCATCAGACTGCAGCTGTCCAACACCTTTTATGAGTCTTCGGGGCAGTGGTGGTTCTCGGTGGACAGCGTCTCGCTGCTCTACAACATTTCTGAAGAGGCTGCGTTCAATGCCAGCGAGGTGTACGCTCCAGCTTCCTCCTCCTACCGCTGCATCCACGTCAGCAGCCTGGAGCGATACAGTGCCCTGCTGCTACCTGGCACTGACCAAGCCCGCCGCTGGTCCATCACTTTTACAGACTTCCAGGTACCCGTCTCTTTACCCTGTCTTTGACTGATTCTTCAAAGAGGATGTTTCATTTCTTGTGTGGTGTCTGGAAGACATAACAAAGTCTTGTTAGAACATTTATTAATTTTTCAGTGTTTTTTGTGGTTAAGGGTCATTTTCTCTCTAGTTCAATACTTTGTTAACACATCTTGAACTTGAATGTCGAAATGAGCAAACACAAAGCTGGGAAAACAGCAGTGTACTGTCAGCTCACAGACCCAGAGACTGGCAGAGTACAAGATTTACACAGGTGAGCGGGTAGAGGGCACAATACAGTTTAAAAATGACCAGTTTCTAATTGGACAAATACAAAAATAGAAACAAACAAAATTTAATGAAAAATGCAAGTTTTAAAGGGTTTGAAACGGTTTTCCAATATTTAAATCACCACAGCGAAAAAAGCAATCACCCCCTCCTGAGGTTATAGTTGTATCACGTTAATGAGTGCATAATAAATTCTAGCTCTGGGTTTTTATGCTCAGACTACTTGGGCTGCTAGAATAGCTTTGCATGATTCACAGTTCAGAATAGGTTTATTTGATTTATCCTGGACCACAGTGCAGCCCCTCAGCTCCTCTCGGTTTAAGGCAAATTTCGTGCCTCTCATAAAGATAAAGTTAGACCAGCAGGAGGTTCTGAGATGACTGTATTAAGGGTACCTGCTCTCTGTGATGTGATATAAAGCCAGAAGCATATTGAGAACATTACTTGTTTGTTTGTTTTTTATAATGTTTCTATGCTCTCCTCAGATTCAGGCCTTCAGCGTCACCTCAGGAAAGTTTTCTCCTGCGAGCGACTGTACCACCTTCTTGACGCCAGCCATCCTGATGGGCCTCGTCACCTCCCTCATCCTGCTGCTGGTGCTGGCCTATGCCCTGCACATGCTCATCCACTTGAAACACATTGAGCATGACGAGGAGCACAAAGCCGACGTCTACTTCCCAAAAAGCCCTGAACACCTGGAACAGTACTGCGTGGAAAACCTCACTGAGAAAAATGTTATGTAGGTTAGGCAGTGAGGTGATGGACAGACTTTTAAAAGTTACAGTTTTGAAAAAGTGAAATGCAGCTGACCTGATAGCTGGCACCAAACCTGGTGTGACATACTCTCAGCCCAGGATGAAATTTTTTTTTTAAACTGACATTTCTAAACTTTTGTAATTTACCCATGAGAGGATTTCTGTTTTTGTCTTAATAAAAATATAAAATAAAAACTCTGGTTTCTTTTATATTTGTAGTGTTTGATTAAATTTTTTGCTTTTGAAGACATAGCATAATAATTGTTTATAAAGCTAGGTGTATGTCAGCTATATGTACTAGTCTCTTCAGTGAAATACAAAAAGAAAATAACAATTTGGTTAGAGGAACTACTTTTTCAGCGTCACTCTGAGACGGAATATTTCTAATTTTAGAGATGTTGCACAAATGGAAGAAAGCAGTCTTACATATTTGTTTAATATGTGCGTTGAAGCACATGTCTTGGTCAAAAATGACTCCAAGGTTCCTCACAGTGTTACTGGAGGCCAAGGTAATGCCATCCAGAGTAAGAATCTGGTTAGATACTATATTTCTAAGATTTTCAGGGCCGAGTACAATAACCTCAGTTTTATCTGAATTAAGAAGCAGAAAGTTAGTTAGAAAGTTATATGACCTTAAAATATATAGCTTATGTTTCTTATAGGTGTAGCAGGAGTATCACAATCACAGTAAAGTAAACGAGTCTCTGCACTGAAGTAATTCTGATTCTGTCCAGTGGGGGCGCTCTGAAGCCTGTGAGACGAAACATCCAGCCAAAGAAGAAGAATCTCACGCTCAGATGAGGAAAGTGCTGCCTGTTACTGAACTTACAGATGAATTGTAAATATTGAAACTCGTATCTGAACCAGCAGCTTTATCTAAAAACCACGTGTCATGTTTAGTTTTAATCTACAGAGCCGGACCTGAATAAACACGTAATTTTAACGGTTTCCTGTTGGGGTTGGTTTCCAGCTGATTAGCATCGGGCTAACCGGTGTAGTTACTGACAGCTCTACCTGCTGGTAACCGTTAACGTTACCTGTCCACGTACTCTCCCGTTCAGCCCTGCTCTCCTGTTCTTGCCGACGGGGCCTTCATGTTGAACCACCTCTCCACTGCTCTAACGCTCTTCACCCGCCGACTACCCGCTTTCTCCCCACGGACTTTCTCCGGAGCCCTCCGCCGCCTCTGCAGGATGGAAGCGGCCGTGGTGAGGTGCCTCCCCGGGGAGCCCAAGCTGACCATCTCCTTCTGTCTGCAGGGCAGCCACAAGCACATGCTCCGGGACCAGGACGAGCCGCTGGGCAAGGTCCTGGCCCGCATCTCCAACGGGATAGCCAAGAACCAATCAAAAGCAAAGAAATCCAAGAAGAACCGGGGTCAGGAGCAGCCGGATGAAGCTGCGGAGCCCACCGTGGTGAAGCTGTTCTACGATGGGGAAGAGGTGCCGGAGACGGTGCTGAACGCGGAGGCTTGGCAGGACGGCTCCGTGCTGCAGGTGGGAGATGTTAAATATTCAGTGCAGAGGAACGCGCCCACCTTCACCACCGCGGAGCTACCGGTGTCCTTGTTGGCCGGCTTCCCCGTCTGCCCCAAACTGGAGGTGGAGTTTGGGAACGTCCAGGACTGCGAGTTCACCTGGTTCAGAGAAAACTGCCCACACACGAGGTAAATACCCAGAAAAGAAGGTGTAAACGTGAAGCAGAGATTGTGTGGTGCAATCCAGCTGTTTCAAGAACTGCATGCCTTACACGGTCTTATCAGGCGAGTGTTGGGTCTGAGGAAGGTCTGCTCATCTCTACCAAGCTGTTTTATTGACACAAAAACATCGATAAGTTTGCCAAAGGGTAAACAAACCTTTAAACTGAAGTATTTTTAACACCCTGGGTGTAGAACTGTACAGCTGCCTTTTCTGATTTTGTTATAAATCAGGTGATTGTTTGGGCACATTAATAATCAAATTGATTTGACATCCTGCAATCTACTTCTCTTTGCTCTTGTTCCAGGTCTGAAGCTCCTGGTAAAGCTTCAGATCAGGACAGTGGTTGGACTCAGGTTGGATGTGAGAGAGTTTACATCCCATCCAATCAGGACATCAGCTTCAGGCTCAAACTGAGCTGCACACCCAAAGATGGAAGCCGTGGTGGCCTGGCCAAGGAGCTGGTTTCTGTGGGAGCTGTGGAGGCTGGACCAGGTGTGTGCTTGTTTGACAACCGTCATGCTTTCACAGCCAAAGTCACGGACTGGCCGACTGTGAGAGTGGTGTCGTACAACATCCTCGCCGACATCTACGCCCAAACGGACCTTTCCAAGACGGTGCTGTACCCGTACTGCGCCCCTACGCCCTGCAGCTGGACTACAGACAGAACCTGATCAAAAAGGAGCTTGCTGGGTACAACTGCGACATTATCTGTCTGCAGGAGGTCGATAAAGGTAATCACTGATAAAAACACAAAAATACTGATGATTTAAAAAAATCTTTGACATTAGTTGTGCTCGCTGACCTCTGCAGGAGTGTATGTGGACAGTCTGACTCCAGCGCTGGATGCCTTTGGTCTGAACGGTGTTTTCAAGGTCAAAGAGAAGCAGCATGAAGGACTCGCTACCTTCTACCGCAGGTTAGGCCAATCACCAGCCAGAAGCTGGATTAACTTTAGCTTGCTTGATAACTTTATCACTGGCAAAATAATATGCAGAGCCACATCTGTGTTTGTTTGGTTGAAGTTAATAATTAATGGATGTTAGATAGTGTTGCTCACTATTGATGCCTGGAGCAGAAGAGAGAGGCATTAATGCGCTTAGAAGCGAGCATAAGCAGCGCATTTTTTAGATTTTTGAGTAAAAAGCCAAACCCAGCTTCACTCCACAGGCTGTTAAAGATAATGAAGAGAGTTGGATAAAGTCTCAGTTTTTTTAAGATACATTACAGTCTGTAAACAGGCCAGAAATAAAAGGTTTTAGTACATGAAATAATTTTGTTTAATGCACTTTAGTATATTGTGTGTCTTACACAGTGTGTCAGCGTTGATAGAGTAGCGAGCACCTACAAATAAGTGATTGTGAAGAAAGTATTGAATATCTGAAGTATAACAGAAAGGCCTCTTTATTTATGTGCAGCCCTAATGGCAATATCACATGATTATGAGCCTGCAACTGGTCAACAGTCCAGACTTTACCCCGCCTCTAGTCCTATGACATCTGGAATAGGCTTCAGCCCCATGTGACCCTGAATTGGATAAGCAGAAAAAGTGGATGGATGATGATTATGATATTGAAGTGAATCCTATTGTGCTGTAGGTCAAAGTTTCGACTCTTGAGCAGTCACGACATCATGCTGAGTGAGGCGTTGTCCTCTGACCCCATGCACGCTGAGCTTCTGGAGAAGGTTTCTGCTAACGGTGCCCTGAAGAATAAGATCCTGCAGAGGTCCACCTCGCTGCAGGTACAGCTGCTCACCATCGAGGCTGATTAACTGTTATATTTTAGCTTTGGGAAGGAGTGATGCGACATTTTGTTATTGCTCCCATCTAAATATCGGGTCAGCAGTCTGGAGGTCTTTCAGACCTACTGCACTCACAACATTTTGACTTTCTTGTCATTTTTAAGTAGTTTTAAGACATTTCAAGCATGAAAAATGCGTCAAAGAAATACATTAAAATACCGTAGCTAATTTTTGTTACCAGCAGACACACCCACTGTCACAAAAAATTAATTTCTTCACAGTTCTTTAGTCAGTGAAATTTGTGACAATAACACTGTTTGACAGACAAAAAATACTATTTTTGCATGAACAAGGTGATTCTGAAAGTGTCCATTAGCTCAAAACTTGGCATGTCTCCATGTGGTGTGCAGTGTGTGGTTCATAAAACTGGACAAGTGGAGTAAAGAAGAAGTGATAGGTCTAAAAATCTGTCTACAGTAAATGAAAGTCACGTATTTAAGAAATGGAAAAAATGTATGGAGGTGTTCAGCAGAGAGGTACAACACAGTATCTACAGCCATTTGTAAAATATGATGGAGACATTTCAGTGTTGGGGATTTTGTAAAAATTCATGGAAACATGCGCACAGAAAAGTACTATCGGATTTGATCCAGCGTTCAATACTGTCTGGAAAGCATTCAATTACTAACAGTTTAATTTTTCAGTTTAATAATGATCCCAAACACACTGCTAATGCAGTAAAAGTACCTTGATAGAAAAATTCCCATTGGAGCATTGTCGCTCATGGATTGGCATCCTCAGATCCTAGACCTCAACATTATTGAAGCAGTGTGGGATCATCTTGACAGAGAACACTAGAAAAGACAGCCAACATCCAAAGAAGCCCTTTGAATGTCCTTCAAGAAGTCTGGAGAGCTATTCCTAAAGAAATTACAGGAATACTTGTTCAGGCTGTTTTGAAGAATACAGGTGGCCATACCAAACGCTGACTTTCAAGATTGTTAAAACTGTACAAACTTTTTTTTAAATTAACTGTATTTCCATGTATCAATACATCACTGCACCAATTTGTCATTTTCCTAGCAAAATATAAAAAATTAAGGAGGTTCAGGACTTCTGCACAACACTATGTTTGCAGATAGAGCAGGGCGATATGGCCAAAAATATTTATCACGATATATATTTGAAAATTTGCGATAACGATATAACCGACGATATAATTGATGCGAGACAAAATACAACTCCACAACATTACTAGCGCAAAAAGACAACCTTCCATTTATTTTCACTTAAACAAGAAGCTGGTTTTTATGTACATTAAAGCTTTATAAAAATGTAACAGTGCAAATGCAAATTCCTTGCTGAAAGTTTAACCAAAAGGCATTTCCAGTAGAAATGGGCTGACATATCCTGAGCATAACCATGTATAATATCCACTGAAGTCAAAAAGAGGTGCTTTGCAACATTAAACTGCAGTGTGCAGTACGCATTTTTCGGACCATAAGGTGCACGGGATTATAAGGCACATTAAGCGAAACAAAGCAGTCAGATAAATCAAACTTTATTAAACTCATTCTTCTTGCTTCCTCCACTTCTGTACCATTGATTCATTAATGTTGAATTCTCTGGCAGCTGCTCTATTCCCATGTTGTTGAGGTATATTAATGACTAACCTCGTATTGTGGATGGATTATCTCAGTTGTTCTCCTGACTGAAGTTTGGTCCGTTTACAGCATCCTGCCATGCGATTGCATTTGTCTCTAACCATGAAGAACCTTCACGTTAACTTTTATAAGTGGAAAAGTGTTAGTGTTCGTCCTCCAGCTTCACTGTTTATGTTATGCTAACATAGCTGTGTCGCTAGCGATCACGTAGCACATCATTATATACCAGCTAGCCCAACTTCAGTAACCCTAAAAACGTCACTGCTGTTTAGTTTCCTGTCTTCATTTATGTTGGAAGTGATAGCAGAGCTGTACGTTTGATTTTTTTCAGAAATCTCTCAGTCAGAACATGCAATATCATGCTTAGGTAACTAGCGAAACTAGCGAGCTAACTTCCGCTAGCTTCCTGCTAACTTCTAACTCCGTTAAATGTAATAACTTTTGTTTTCATGGATGCCTGGAAGTTAAACTTTATAGTTACACCTGGTAAAGCAGCAATGCTGATCGTTTTATTAAAGATGAAAGAATTTAGACAGTTTTTAACTCTAAGTGATGCTGCAGTGTTATTTGACCTGAAACATATGGAGTTTAGGACCCAGATTACTCCCAGATTTAAGAGCATCTTAGTCCGACAAATACGACAATAACAACGGCTGCTTGCATGTTCTGCAAAAAAATGTGCTTTGTTGTGTATCTGACGGACAAACACCAAACCAGTTCCACATCACGGAAGTTGCACCATTTTTACAAACCAATTCTGGTTCATCTGTTTCACTCAACAATCGGCCATGTGCGTATGAAAACAAAGGCACTGCGCATGCGCGTTTTACTCCCATTCTATCGCGATATTTCATTTTCCTATCGTTGCCTAACATTATACCGGTATTACCGTGAACGGTATAATATGGCCCAGCCCTATTTGCAGACTTTAAGAAACATTTTAGCACAAACACCGGCTCGTTATGTTCAGTGTAATACTTCTTGGAAAACTTTAATTACACTTAGGGTAACATCACATATTGTCATCAACATTTCACCTTACCTGTCTTGTGTATGTGTGTGAAGGTGTACTCAAATCAGCTATATTTACATGTAAAATGATAATTCAGGGAGAGTTACAGACAACAGGAGATCATCTCTGCTCTTAGTCACTCTTGAAGTCGCTGTTTGCTCACACAGCAAACGGAGAGAAAGGAAAGAGAGAGTACAGCTGCTGCAGATGAATCAGAATTTGCTGTCCGTGGATGTTTTGCTAAAGTTTGATTGTTGGCTGTTGTCTGTTTGAGATTTGTCCTGGAATTTGATTCTTAAATATGTGAAAGAAATGCCCACTACAGTTAAAAATCAGCAATTTATTCAGTCATGAAAAGAAATGTTTGTCTAATCACTGAATTGTTTGTTTCCCTGCAGGTCACTTTCCTCGAGGACCTGAATAAACCCGGCAGGAAGGTCTGTGTGGCCAACACTCACCTGTACTGGCACCCGAAAGGTAAAATGTCCTGTTTACTTCCAGGAACACCTGAGTTGCTCATTTTAACCAGCAGAGATTGTCAGTACAGACTTCTGAGAATTGAATTCATTTCCTTTGAAGGGGGGAATGTTCGCTTAGTCCAGATGGGCGTGGCTTTGAAACACCTGAGTCATGTGATCAGCGAGGTCGCACCTGGAGCCCCGCTGGTGTTTTGTGGAGACTTTAACTCCACCCCAAATGCAGGTAACTCCAGAATAGTACCTACAGCTGAATCTGAGACTGTTTACAAAAACATAATGACCCTCAGGTCAAAGTTCAACTTCACCATGTTTGGAGTTCTTTTTTAACACAGTCTTTATCAGGTTGGTTTGTTTCTTGATCTCGTCCCCTCTCAGGTGTGTTTCAGCTGCTCAGTGAGGCTGTGGTTCCTCCGCAGCATGCAGACTGGAGCAGCTCGGGGCCAGAGGAGTCCTGCAGCATGGAGCTGCTCTCTGACATCCCCCCTCTGCTGAGCGCCTGCGGATTGCCGGCCTACACCAACTATGTGAGAGGGTTTCAAGGCTGCCTGGATTACATCTTTATACAGCCAGACTGCATGCAGGTACTGATGGCAGAGGATATAGGAGAGACACATTTTTGTTTTAACAAGCTCTCTTATGGGAATGTTAGTGAATTACTATTTATTTATTTTAAACTATTTTTTATTTCATTGTCTTATTTTGCCTTTTTGTTGGCTGTTATGTTATTTAATTTTCATATTTATTTTACTCTCTTTTGTGCACAGGTTTGTGACTGTCTACAAAAAGCCCTTAATAAATCAGCTTTACTTACTTACTTTACTTAGAACATCTTTTAGCCAAACTATGCGTACTACTCAACCAAATGAAATCTGTCTTTTTAATTATTGAGATCTTGAGCGAGCCACTTGCTAAGTTTGAAGTAAATCAGAAAAGAGTTTGTAAAACGGGTGAAGAATGACAGATTTCTCAGATTTTCACTAAGTCAAAGATGAGGAACAGAAAACAAACTCAATGGAGATTGGTTATTTAAAAAAAAAAAAAGACGATAAGGTAAAAATGGAGTCAGGTGTTCTTTGTGTGAATAACTGATGTAACACATATATGGTGTGTGTGCAGGTGGAGCAGGTGATCCCTCTGCCCAGCCTCGAGGAGGTCACCACCTACGAGGCTCTGCCCAGCGTGGCTCACCCCTCTGACCACATCGCTTTGGTTTGTGACCTCCGGTGGAACCCCTGACCTCCAACCATGATGGACAGAGATGCTTAAACACAGAGTGTGAGATTTAAACTGTGTCCCTGCAGGTTTACCAAGAAGAACCAAAGTCAGCAGAAGCTCAAAGGATCAGACAGTAGAACTTGAACCACAAAACCACAACACAGTGAAATTTCATGTGAAATTATTCACAGTCCTTATTAGACAATAAATTATTTTCATCACTTATATTCAGTGTTGGAATGAGAAAAGTAAGTAATTGCAGATTTTGAGAAGGGATTTAAGAAGGGATTGATTAAATACTCAAAAAACAAACTCACATTACTGCATCACAACAATTTGATGATTAATGATCACTCTGAGGTTATTCACTTTATTTCTGGGTTAATAGATAAATATTGACCTTTTAAGATAAGTATTTATTATCATTGTTGCCAAGTGTACTGCTCAGTGGGCCTTTCAGTTTTTAAATAAAGTCTACAGCGCTGACTCTCACTTGTTGGCTTATTGTCATATACTTACAGACATCATTAAAAGGAGGTGAACATCCTGTGATGCTTAAATGATTTGCTCACTATTGTGACAATATCCTCGAAATATAACTTTAATTTAATTTAGTCCAAATTTTACCTTCTTAATTTAACTTACAGCTTTATTTACAAAAATGGGTAAAAATGTGACAATCTTAACAAATTATATTTTTGTTTTATTTTAAATTATTTTCACTGTTGTTTTCTGTATTGTCCTCAGCCTCTCTCTGCGCACCTCCACTGCCACTTGATCCAGTTCATTAACTGTCATTATGTCTCATGGATTTAAAAAAAACCCCACTTTTTGTCAAAAACAATAAATCTCATACAAAAGCAGAATTCTCTCAAGCAGACAGAACAAAAATCTACAGTTTTAACCATAGTCCCACACAGGACGTCATCAGGAGTATTAAAACCATGAAAGGATCTTTTAGTCCAAAACAAAACACTCTGATGAAACAATAATAAAAATTATATCTGATTATTTTCATTTCACCAAGGTGACAAATGTCAACGGTATAATTTGCATAAACAAATACAGAGCAAAACCACAATATGTACAGCAGCTTCATGTACACTAAACATCTGAGTTTCAGAGAAGTCGCAGCAATGTTGGTTTCAAAATTCACAGCTCAGTTTTCTTCTTTGTGAGTACGTTCCTGTCTTTATGGAAGACGGCTCCATCAGGCTGCTCCCTCCACTTCACAGTGATTCCACTCACTCCTTTCTCCTTCAGTCTGTCCTGGAGCTGAGAGATCCAAACATTACACACATGTTTAAACAGAGACTAAAAACAAACAAAAGCCTGTTTTAGAAAAACAAAACATCAATAAATTTATTTTCTGACATTAATTCATACCTTTGCATTTGAATTGGGCCGATTAATGTATACAGTAAAATCATATTTGTAAAATACATATTTTACATATTAAAATCATATACAGTAAAATCATATTAAACGTTTCAGAGAAAAGTATGGAAATTATTTTTGTCATTTATAAAAGGGTTTTTTTTTTCATTTTTAGATGTCATAATTTTATGAACATTTCTCAACATTCAAAAATTCAAATTTACAGCCTTAATTTTCACGCAGCAGCTTGCTCATAGATGCTGTGAAGAAGAGATGAGGACAGGCAATCACATAAAATTAAAGAGCTGGGTGAAACTCACAGCACCTACACTAAAGTGCAAAAGTGATGAGGTGAAGTTTTAAGGCAGACTTGCCTCTTTCAGGAGTGTTGCTTTGGCAGCGGTGTCATTCAGATTCACAGAGGAGTCCTCCAGCTTCAACCTGATTTTTATTACTGAGACAGAGAGGACAAAAGGTGTCATGGGGAGTTTTCAGTTATTATATTTTTGTGATATCAAAACTGTAACTTTATACCTTTTCTGTAAACAATTTCTTTTTTGGGAGCTTCTGTGGTTTCAGGTTGAGGAGCTGGCAGGTTGTCATAGCAGACAAATGGTCGTTGTGTATAATAGGGCAGTAACCTCCATTTTCCTGATCTCTGCATATCTGCAACCCCACACATGTCATTTGAAATGCCAAATATTTTTCCTGATTCATCCCAGTATCTGAATGAGGAGTCTCTGCCATCGACCCAGAAAATTTGAGGATGTGCAATGCGGCCGATCCATATTTCAGTCCCATATGACACCAGCCTCTGCGCATCACTGACAGAAAGCGAACTGTCAGCCAGGTCTGTGAAGTTCTCCCTGCAGTACCGGAGAGCTCTGAACCAGTCCATGCTTTTATTCACAAAAACAAATTCAGGACTCTGGTAAGTTCCTGCAATTAGAAATTGTGGTTAAATAAGTCATGTTGATTTTCCTGTGAATGAAAATAATCAAAACAATCTTAATGAGAAAAGAAAATGCTTTGGTATTTTCTTACCATTGTAACAGATGAATGGGTATTCCAGTGAGCAGTTGATATCATACCAGTACCAGTATGGTGAATTCACTAAAGCTTTTGTACAAAAATAGTAAACTGAGAAGGGTTCATTTTTAGTTTGATTTTCCCATTTCCAGAAATCATCATTGATCTGAGATGCATATCTCCAATAAAAACTTAGGTAAGCACCAATCCAGACCTCAGAGTTGTAACCAGCAGATGAAACTGTTTTGTTAAATTGTTTCATTTCTGTAGCGTTTTCGAAGTTGGCCAGGTCTGTGTAGTTCACTCTACAGTAACTCAGAGCCGCACCCCAATCTAAGGACTTATTAACAAAGTAGTACTGACGGCATCTGGAGAAGATGAGACACCCTGTGAGGAAAAATGATTGATCAACATCTCTGAACATGCAACCTGGATGTAACATATCAGAGTGATAAGCACTGCCAAAAATGACTGACCTGAGAGACAGAAGACACCCAGCAGGATCTTTAGAGTCATGATGCTGCTCTGTGAACTGTGAAAGAAAACTCAGCCTTTATAATAATAAAAATGCAGGGAAATCCCACTCCTGCTCCATGTTCCTGTTTCTGAGAAATGTTATGGGTGTGTTGATCAGTTTATGCAAAATGTGTCACAGAGACTCCTTTATGGAAACAACATTAACCAGGTTTGTTTAAAACTGCTAAAAATTCAAACTTCAGGCTTAAAGTAATAGAAATGATTTTAAATGAGAGTGTTTTATCTTGTGTTTATCTACATTTATTTCCAACTGCAGTGTTTTTTTCTTAAAATTTCAAGAAGTTTTATTTATTTCAGTCATTGTTTTTAATGATACTGCACAAGAGTGAAGCTAATCTGCTTGATTTTAGAAAAATATGTCACAAAATCATGTCACTGAATTACCGAAGTTATATATTTTTTATTTTCATTATTTGATTGAACCAAAGAATGACCTAAAACAAAAGATATGACTGATGAATCAGTTAAAGGAAACATTTAAAAGGCATTAGAAAGATTAAGTTAAATGTTTTAACATTTTACCATCAGACGCTTCACTGTGTGCATCCTGACCGTCTTATAGAGCAGTTGTGGCTCAGCTGATAGAGCAGGTCATCTGCCAGTTAGAAGGTGGGAGGTTCAGTCCTTGACTTCTGTGAATCTGTCAAAGTATCCTTGGGCAAGCGCCTTAACCTCAAATTACTTGTGATGTATCCACCGTAGCATAAAATAATGTGATTTGTAGTATTTCCAGAACATATTTTGTTTTCACACCAGTGATGAATTCCTCAGTAAAACTCAAACATGTTTCGGTAAGATCTGGGCTCATGTTGAAAACCTTCTGCACCAATATCACGCATCTACAGTGTTTGAAGATACGTTTCAGTAATCAGCTGAAGTTTGTTCTGGATGCTAAATTCCCCTAAACAATGCCTCTAAACACAGGCATTGTTTGTTTAGTAACCAAACCTTTTCTTTGTCTTTTTGAACAAATAAATAAAAGTCCTAATATTGGAGCTCCTTCTTTTTTCCCCATTTGTTTCATCATGACAAGAAACCCGTGCCACTGCTGATCACAATACTGGCTTTTGAAGATCAAATTTCATAAATCAGTCACTTTTGAATTCAGTCATTTTCAGAGGATCAAAAGTAATTGGACAATTTATGGGTAAAATCATGGCCCAGAGAGGCCTGTTCACTCATTCAATCTCTTGGGGAAGTAGGTATAATTGTCTTCATACAGAAAGTTTACAAGAAGATATAAACGAAAAAACAGGAAGGCTAGATTAAACTTTGCCAGGAAATATCTAAAAGAGCCCCCCAAAAATTCCTCAGATCTTGCACCGATTAAACTAAGAATAATTTGTAACACGATGATGGAAACCAAAATGTGTGGAGATGATGTCACTGTTGATAGATGTAGCAAGATATTCTGTCCTTACATGTTATAGAGCATCTTATCTTTCCATAGATAAAGGCATTGCATTGGATGCAGAAATTATAGAAATTAATGCAAAATTCACTAAATGTTGTTTATGAAGTGTCTGAAGCTCAGAACTGCACGGAGGAGTCCCACTCCCACCCTTCCTCCCACATTTACTTAAAGCATACGAGCTTAACGACAGACTGGTTTAGGACAAGTGGCCACATTAACTTTATAATAAAGATGTGTTCTTAGATTGATTTAACAATAATACCTGCATGAATCTAAACTATCTAAACAATCTAAACAAGTGAAATCCCAAGTCTGACACCAAGACGAGACACAAATCCCTTTTGGGTTGCGTCGGGAAGTACAAGTTAAATCTGCTAAAGAAAACGTGTGGAGCTATCTGCTGTGGCAAACAGATGTGAAACAGGAGCAGTTCAAAGTACCTTTATCTGAATAAACTGCAGTCCCGTGTGTCGGGTTATCAGGAATATGCAATCTTTCTTTCTAACAAAGCGCCAAAGAAATTTTTTTTGGAAATGTGTTTTTCCTTTTACTGAGGCAGGAACTATTCGCAGCATCATTTGCATGAACAGAAAGTTGAAGCAGAGCCAGACTGCACTAAACAGCAGCTTCATTTACACAAAACATCAAGCCAAAGTGTTTTTATGAACAGAAGCAAAGCTGGCTTTAAATTTAACAGGCCAGTTTTCTTTCTGTCATCATTCCCCCCTTTATGGAAGACTTCTCCATCCGACTGCTCTCCACTTCAGAGTGACTCCACTCACAGCTCTCCCTTTCATATTGTGAAAGCTGCTGAGTGATACAAAAAGCAGGTTAAAAAAATAATCTTTCTCAAACATCACATTCACAAGATTGACCGTGAGGTCAAAGTTACTGACATCTCATGTGAGATTTTCAATAGATACACCTACAGTATTAATTCTAGGTGAGATCCCAGCAAACAAGGGAGCGTTCGGGGATTGTTCACTACCCCACTTCAGCTAACGTTTTCTAAACGTTGTGTGTAGAAGGTTTTCCTGATGTTAGGGGAAAGTTCACTTTAGATTAAAAAAATGGTTGGGAGGATGTTTTAAAAACATTCCCCAGATTGTCAAAACCAACAATAACATTGTAAACACAATAACTCGACAAAGTCTATATAGTCTAAATCTATAACCTCGACCTTCACCTTCAGGTTGAGGTTGAGGTAATAGATTTTCAAAATTGTCAGAGACTTTCAGTAGATCCATTTGAAAATCCTACATCTCCTTTTTCTTGAGTCATCGTTTTCACAAAGTTGGGTGTCATCAACACCGTTCTGCATGGTGGGGTAATGCTAACACCCCATCAGCCTTTTTCCAGTTGAGGGGTAAAAATGAAATAGATCTTTCAATTCAATTAAATCTTTATTGCCAGACTTTATGTCCATAAAAAACAAGACAAAACACAATCTATAAACCTTAATAAAAATATTAAAAATATTAAACATTTGTAAAAATATAAAACCAAAATATACATAAAATACACAATTAGTTAGAAGAAATCAATAAATACACAAACACTTCAACTAATGCTTAATGCTCTCCGACTGTATGATTAACGGGAACCACTCGCTGTCGGATCTGTGGGTTCTAAAATTATACTGTTACTAGAGCCATCCAGTCGTTCTCTAAAATTGAACATTAACTTTCTTAAACGTGCTCTAAAAAGTCCAAACACCCACAGCTACAAATATCTGACTGGCACTACCCGTTCTAGGTATCGTACAAAGGATTCTCATTGCGCAGCACGGCAGCACAGTGGAAAGGGCTGTGTTTTTATCATCAGCGTGACAGTGCCGTGCCGCCTTTGCCCAGGGAAATGAGCCCGCCAGCGCTCTCTAGCGGCCGCGATAAGGAAAGGTTGCTCTTCATAGAGGACTCACGCTGGGGGAGACGTTTTCTGGTCGACTCCGGCTCCCAGAAGAGCCTTGGGAACTCTTGTGTCGTCTTTGCATACCTCCGCAATGGTATATTATTTAATCTTTAAAAGTACCACCAGTTTGAGAACCGCTGCATTAAACAAAACTACTTTAACTAGAAGTGCACGAGAGCTGAATTTAGGTGCAATAGTATTTGCCTCCACATAGAGCTTACACTGTCGTCTGTATATGTCATCGTCATCATTTATTTGATCAGTAATAAAGCGACTGAGGTATTTCACCTTTTTATGAACTTCAAGAGTTTTTGGGACAGTTTAAACAGGCAAATTTAGCTGTTTGTCCTGCTTGGTTCTACATCTCAAAACACCACTTTTAACAGCATTGTACTTTATATCATATTGCACACCATACTCAGTACAGATATTAAGAAGCTCCTGTAACCCAGCACTGCTTGGACTAAAAACAACCACGTCATCTGCATACATAAGATGATTTATCAATGTTTTACACCCAGTGTTACATCACAACCACCCTCCACCAGTCAGGGCTGTATGGCAGAGTGGCCCGACAGAAGCCTCTCCTCAGTGCAAGACACATGAAAGCCCACATGGAGTTTGCTAAAAAAAACCAAAAAAAAAAACAAACCCAAACACCTGAAGGACTCCAAGATGGTGAGAAATGAGATTCTGTGTTCTCATGAGACCAAGATAGAACTTTTTGACCTTAATTCTAAGTGGTATGTGTGATAAAACCACTGCTCATGACCTGTCCAATACAGTCCCAACAGCGAAGCATGGTGGTGGCAGCATCATGCTGTGGGGTGTTTTTCAGCTGTAGGGACAGGACGACTGGTTGCAATCAAGGGAAAGATGAATGTGGCCAAGTACAGGGATATCCTGAACGAAAACCTTCTCCCAAGTACTCGGGTCCTCAGACTGGGTGAAGGTTTACCTTCCAACAAGACAATGACTCTAAGCCCTTCTACTAAATACTGAGCGAAGGGTCTGAATACTTCGGACCATGTGATATTTCAGTTTTTCTTTTTTAATAAATCTGCAAAAATGTCAACAATTCTGTGTTTTTTCTGTCAATGTGGAGTGCTGTGTGTACATTATTGAGGAAAAAAATGAACTTAAATAATTTTAGCAAACGGTTGCTTTATAACAAAGAGTGTAAAAATTAAGGGGGTCTGAATACTTTCCGTACCCACTGTATGTGATAATTATTGTGGGTAAATTCTTCATTCATAAATGTCGATTTCTGAATATAAAGCCGTCCTTTTCATAAACTTTACGAAGAACTGTGCCTCTTCCTGTCATCTGTAAAGTTTATGGACAAAAAACAAACAGTGGATCTGCATCATATGGTTAATGAACTAAAGCTTTTAGAAAACCCCAAGGTTTTAATTTTATTATATGACTTTAATTTAAATTTTTGTTAATTTTATTTATTTCTTCAGTTGCTTATTTTTATTTTATTTTCATTATCTGTCTTTTATATTTTGTAAGACAGCCTGTCGTGGTATTATCTGTTGGATAATAAGTTGGAAAAAGTCTTTGGCAATATTGCCATATTTGTTATACTTGTTTATGGAAGCCAGTTTCCGCTACTAAAAAAACAAAACAAAAACAAGTATCCATAACTCAAAATTTCGAGAAAAAAAAGTCGAAATTTGGAGAAACATAGCGAGTTAAGGATCCCCTTCTTTTTTTTTGTGGCGGGAGTATGGAAGTATGGGCTTCCATACTTGTTACATTTGTTTAATTAATAAAAAAAATAAATAAATTCATTGCTCTTGTTTTTTGTCCAGTAAAATTAAACTGGGTTTAACCAAATTTTCTTGAACTAGCCCATTAGTTGCATACAAGTTTTCAAAAAGTCTGTATGCACGGGATTTATCGATTTTCACTTTATTTATTTATTTGTATTCCACTATTCTCATTTAACTTTAAGACCAAGAAACCTTGTTCTTGTCAGGGTCCTGGGTCTCCTGACCCAGCGTTTTAGTTCTTTGTGATTTTTGTATTATTGTACTTGGTGTGAGTTTCTATGGTTTCTAGTTTCGATCCCTTGCCCTTCATGTTTCTCTATGTCCCCTCTGTTCTGTGTAAGTCTGTGTCTGCATGTTTGAGTTCCCCTCTGTGTCTCTCGGTTCTTAGAGTCCTCTGCCTTATGGTTTATGTTTCTGTGTTTCCTAGTTGCTGTCTCCACTGTGTCAAGTTCGCGTCTCTGTGTGATCCTTCCTGTTTTACTTTGTAGGTCCGTGTCTTATGTGAATGTGTCCTGCTTTGCTTGTCTCATCAGTTCTAATTTCCCCCAGCTGTGCTCTCCTTCTGTGTCTCATTCTCCTCGTTACTTCCCAGTGTATTTAGTCCCTGTGTTTCTCTGAGTCAGTGTTGCGTCGTACCCTCAACAAGCTGTGTGTGTGTTTTGCCTCCGTGTTACCAGTGTTTTGTTTCCAGCTCTAGTTCCAGTTCAGTATTTCTGCTTCAGTGTTTTAGTCCACCAGCGTTTTTGTTTGTCTTTTGGTGAGTTTAGTTAGTAAGAGGTTTTCCAGCAATAAAGCTGCGCTTTAAGTTGAACTTCTGTGTCTGAGTCCTGCATTTTGGATCCACCACTCCTGCTTGCACGCCTGCCACACAGCCAACCATGACAGTTCTATTATTAGTCTGTGGATAGAGATGCTGCAATAAGCCCGTTTTTAAAATGACTCTTATTCTGAAACGCTTCACCGGATAAGCTATGTCACGTCGAACGAGTTGATTGGCTGTCTCATGCACCGGAAGCCAAACAAGGATTCGGCGTTTTGATGATCTTACGTGTCATTTCCAGAGTGTCAGTGATTCAGATCTGCTGTAGACTATTAACGAAAAAACCCAGGTGAGTTTTCATTTACTCTCACGCTGTTCGCAGACTTTAAAACCTGAATATTAACCAGCTACCTGTCGATTTGTGTTCATTGTAGATAAATAAAGTCAGCTCTGTCAGCTGACGTTAGCTATTTAGAGGCACTGTAAGTTCACTACAAACCAAAACATGATCATTGTCACATTTTATCTCACTGTTTCCCTTAAAAGTTAATTCATTTACGATAAAGTGCTGATGTAATCTGTATAAAACGCAATATCCTTAACAGGTTGTTTTAGTAGTACCCGTTAGTTCTACCTGTTTTAATCTGTGTTTATTCCCATGTGTACCCTCGTTTTATCGCCTGTTTGTGTTGGTTGGTTCTTTGGTTTGTTTTTCGACACTTTTCAGGGACGTAAATATCACCCTATCACGTGTTCCAGACCGCCTGATAGAATGAATGAATGAAATCTGTTGATCTGAGGCGACACCATGACCTCTTCTTGTTCTTCCTCTTCTTTTTCTTCCCGACGCCACAGCGTTTACCACAGCGATCTGCTGTCACACCAGCCATCGACATGTCATCACTACAGCTTTAAATGTTCTTTGTGCTCTTATCCATCTGCCTGAAAGCTCGATATTTAACACCCTTTGTCCAGTTTATCCACTATCCCGCCTCTTGTATTTCTAACTTTGTCTCCAAACCACTTCTGCCTGAGCTCTCCCTCTGATACTCCCTCCCAATGGAAGTCTGAGCAGCTTGATCTTTATCACCTCCATGTCATTGGCTAATAATTAAGTTGAATTTAATGCAGCCAAAAAGGTAGCAAATGCCTGAATTACTGCATCCAAAAGAGTAAATGCAGTAACAAAATCACCATCACTGTGATTTTTATTGTATTATTAACTCAAGTGTACAACTGTAAAAAGCCATTTACTTTTATTCAAGGCCAGTAGATATCAGGAAAATGCTCAGACGTCTGTAACACAGATTCTTTGCTTTAACTGTAAGTGGACCAGACATGTTTACATATATAGTTACTTTCAAAGGTCCATTTTGAATCAGGAAGACTCTGACCTAAGTTAAACACGTTAAAATAACAGTGCAGAAGTTTAGTAAGTAAGAATATAAATAAAACAAAGTGGAATTTAATCATCCATTTTCTTCTTTTCATACTATTCACCTTTCCACCCTGAATAGAATTGTGTAGTAAAATGGCTCAATAAAAATGCGACAAACCAAAGTAAACAACACAGTGGATCAGGAAATAGTCTGATTTGCTTATTTGTGTTTCTGTCCCCGATCACAACGTCTCCACTCATGTGTACATAAATGTTATATTTTTATACTTTAGGAGGGCAAAGAAGTTCACATTTAGAGGTCAGAGAGGGAGAGAATAATTTTCTTCAAAGTAAAAAAGTGACTGTATTTGAAAGTCACTTTTAATTTTAAATCTAACACAGAAACAAGCATGACTGATTTTTTTTCTGTCCTTTAGAAAATGTCTGATTTTAATGATGAATGTGAATCTGGTCTTTTCAGGGCATCAGCATCTGGTTATTGATGAACTTGGGTAACTGTTGGTAACGGCAGAATCATGAAGGCTTTGATCCTAGTGGGGGGTACGGGACCCGACTGCGACCGCTCACCCTGAGCGTCCCAAAACCCCTCGTGGAGTTCTGCAACAAACCCATCCTGCTGCACCAGGTGGAGGCACTGGTGAAAGTAAGGCATGGATATCAATGAGGATTTAATGATGCTACTGAGAGGTTATTTTGTGTTGTAGTCATGAGTCACTGTCTCTGTATGTTTTCAGGCTGGGGTGGACCATGTGGTTCTGGCAGTGAGCTACATGTCAGAGCTGCTGGAAAGAGAGATGAGAGTGCAGGAGCAGAGAGTACGTATGACAACCTGCACTGTTACAGCAAAAACCACCAGGTTTCTCCTGCATGGAGGCTATATGATGGATTTATTAATCAGGATTTCATTTACTGAGGTGTAAATGTGCACAACAGTCACTGTTGAGTATGTTTGGTTCCCTTTTCAAGAAACTTTCGGCATCTCTGCTTATTTTTCTTGTTCTAGTGTATCCAGGATATTCAGAAAGTCGGTAACAGGTTTTAGGTTCACGATTTCTCAAGACAGAGAGAGTTGGACTGGAACGGACTGTTTCCCTTGAATGCAGAATTGTCAATAAAACACAACACTCGTGAGCACAGTCACCGTGTGTGTCGTGTACTTTACAATCTTTAATCAGCGTGACTTCCGTTTTGTGCTTGAACAGGACCTCAAAGACTCGGTTGTTGGACTTGTTGGATTTCTGTATCTCTGGTCACATGTTAGGAAATAGATTCAGGAGACATTCATTTGGATTAATGTGTGATTCCTAACTGAGCCCAAACATTAAAGTTGAACCTGTCTGTTTTTTGTTTTCTTCTCAGCTCGGGATTCGTATCTCTCTGTCTCATGAGAAGGAGCCTCTGGGAACAGGTGAGCTTGTCTTTACTACAGACAGATCCAGATAAGCGTAAATGGCTCTCTGCAAGTATCCAGTAATTCAACATCGATTAACTCGTCTTTTAAAAACCATAGTAAATTATTGTGAACCATATAAAACTATGTTTGTGCACAGCGGGTCCCCTGGCGTTGGCTCGAGACTTGCTGAATGATAACAGTGAGCCGTTCTTCGTTCTCAACTCAGACGTCATCTGTGATTTTCCGTTCAAAGATCTGCTGCAGTTCCACCGCAACCACGGCAAGGAGGGAACCATTGTGGTGAGAGAGACTGTCCAAGTATTTCCTATGCTTAGCTGCTGCATATTGACAGGTTTTTATTAGTTTTAGGTGGTATAAGGGAAGCTTACTACTGTGGGGTCATACTCTGTGTGTGCGTGTGTGTGCGTGTGCGTGCATGCATGAAGGTAACACGGGTGGAAGAGCCCTCTAAGTACGGTGTGGTGGTGTATGAGGCGGACAGCGGGAGGATCCATCGCTTTGTGGAGAAACCACAGGTCTTTGTCTCCAACAAAATTAATGCCGGCATGTACATCTTCAATCCCAGCATGCTCAGCAGGATCCAGGTGAGGAGGCTCTCGCACTCACTCATAGTGTCGATGTTAGTGTGTTATTTAGTAACAGACTCGGTGTTTCCCACAGATGGACTTTACCTTGGTGGGCCAGCCTGTTAGTATCTGGTATTATTGAAAGCTGAAAGGGAGCTCCCTTTCAGCTTTCAGTCTTCAATCCAAACTTTCAGCCTTAGTTTGGATCAGAGCGAAGAATGCATCTGGGTCACTGTTCAGCCTATCATTGTGGCAGTCACTGATATCATTCAGCTTCTTGATCAGAGCTCATCCTAGATTCAGATGTACTCAGACTTCACTATCTTGGACTGTAGCTAGTGATTGCAGTCCTCCTGCTCTGAATATCTCCTGCGAGACCCTGGGTCACTCTAACCCGAGCCTACAACAGGTTTGTGTGTCTGTCAATCTACCAGCAGGATGAGACTCACTGGAGAGGCACCTGATTATGTGTGAATCTGTGGGAAACACTGAGTCTGAAGACACTATAGTTTTGTTTATTTTTTTTGGATCATGTTCATGACTTTTTTTATGCATTCTTTTTGCAGCTGAGACCAACATCCATTGAAAAGAAATATTTCCTGTCATGGCAGGGGAGGGACAGCTGTATGCCATGGAGCTGCAAGGTAACTAATACTAATATTAAGACTGCAGTACTACAGCACAGGACTCTTCTCCTCCAGTGGCGTAGTGGTCAAAAGTCACTGGTTTGATTCCAGCTGGAGACACAAATCCTCTTTGGGGTTGCGTCAGAAAGGGCATCCTGCGTTTAAAGAAAATCTGCCAAATCAGACATGTAGAGCTGCCCACTGTGGCGACCACTGGTGGCAGGGAAGCAGCCGAAAGTAGCTTCCGCTACAGCACAGGACTGTAAAACTGCATGTGAGATCTGAACATTCAGCTTTTGCCCAAAATAGGGGCCCGTGGAGAAGATTGTATTAATCAAAATGATGCAAGTCAGTTCGTAAAAGTATACAGTGGTCACCTCACCTTTTTCTTAACACAGCAGTAGGATCAGTAGGATGGAAATGTATGGTTTGAAGCTGACCTGTGTGCTTGATCTGGTCTCTGCAGCTCACAGCTCCACCAGACGTAAGTGTTTGGGCTTTTCGTGTAGGTCTGGAGAGGAAACGTTTGCAGAAAAGCACCACTAACCTTTATGCTCAGACCTAAAGGTTCTCTAGAGTTCTGATACAGATGTTTAAAAAGAAAAACTCCAACAAAAAACATAAGAGCTCACCAGCAGGAGGAATCACTTGTTGGTGCTTCTCTACATCCTCATTCCTCTCTGAGATCCTTTGGCTTTGCTGAAACAGTGGAACCACGTAGTGAAACCTCGACCCCATCCTGACCTGTAGTCCAGGCAGGCTTACTGGTCCCAGTCAGTAGTGGATTTCCCTTTAGAAGATGATGTGATTCATCATGTTTAAGTAGTAACAGAAGGTCCTCGAGATTAGCGGCGAAGCATTTACAAAACTTAAGAATCACAGGATAAATAAAAAAAGATGGGCTTGATTTGTTCTTTAAATTTTCTTAGAGGAGTAGGAATTTGTACAAGTGACCTAAATTCTGTTTTGTCTTTGTAATAAATATGGACAAACCTATGTCGGCCTAAAAGGCTAAATAAATTCATTACATTTTAATAACTGATCTCTGGCTAGTTTATGCTTGAATAAATAAATAAATTCAGGTTAAATCTGTATGTTAATCAGAAACCAGAAACCCTGATGTTTTTTTATGATGCTGGTGCTCGTAAAAACCCTGATTAATGTTGTTCGTACCAGTCGTGCTTTCCTGTGTTTTTATTCAGGTGTTTGGATTAATCTTTTTTCAGGATTGGTATTTATTGAATTATGAATTGATGGTGATTTTTCTCCCTCTTTTTTGTTTTTTTTGTTTTTAACAGAGATCTGTAGAAAATCCATCAGTCTTTCCAGTGAAAATGTGGCTTTTTTAACCCACTGAACTGCATTTTCAGTTTTTAGTTTAAATCTGTATCTCTGCTTGTCCTGGTTTCCACTTTTGCCCCCACAGCCTAACCAACGGTAAGGGGGTGACACCATGTTGCAGTGGTTAGCACTGTTAGACGCTGGGTTCGAACCTTCTGGTTGATTTCTGTGTGTTTGTTTGCTCCTGAAATTCATAGACTGCGGTCATATTTGTTAGGTTATAACTGGTGATTTTGGTGGCCGTAGGATTAGATGTGAGGGTGCCTGTTTGCCCCGGTGTTCTCCGCCTCTTCTCTCTTGATCCTGCCCCCTCACAACACTTAGCTGGATATTTGGTTGAGGCAGATGAATGATTTGTGCAGCTATTAGAACAAATGCTGAAAACTCTGCTGGCAGTTATGTAAAATTTATGGCAGAGTTTGCAGTCAGCAGATTAATGTCTGCCTCTTACTGTGACCTCATTCAGTGAGTCACCTGTTAAAGATCACTAGGAGCTGCCTGGTTGCTTTCACCTTCCACCCTCTGTCCGTCTGTCTGCAGGTTTCTGGATGGACATCGGCCAGCCTAAAGACTTCCTGACAGGGATGTGTATGTACCTCCAGTCAGTACGACAACACGCACCTGAGAGATTACGCACAGGCCCCGGTTTCCTCGGCAACGTCTTGGTGGTGAGTGCACTTTGTTGATGTGACATCAAAATAAGGGCTTGTACTTCATGATAATGATGATCCCCATTTCTTCTTCTCTGAAGGATCCCACAGCACAGATCGGGGAGAACTGCACCATCGGCCCGAATGTTACCATCGGCGCCGGCGTTGTCGTGGAGGACGGCGTGAGGATAAAGAGGTGCACGGTGCTGAAAGGGTCAAGGGTTCGATCGCACTCGTGGCTGGAGAGCTGCATCGTGGGGTGGAGCTCGTCAGTCGGCCAGTGGGTGAGTGGGAAAGATGTGTGGACGTTCTTGGTTCATTCATTTATTGTGAGACGCAGCTAATTGTGTCTCTGTCTGTTTAACAGCAGATCTCACTTGTGGTGATGTTTGTACTCTATAACTTAGCCTAGTTTTCTTTTTTTCTTTTTAGACCTTGTATCTGCTTACGCGCTCATGGATATAATTTATTGGAATTGCTTAAACTTGTCTGTTTTTTTTTTTTTTTTGTTTGTTTTGTTTTTTTGTCTTAAAGTAATAACCAAATGGGACTTTTGGCCAACTTCACAGTTCACTATTATATCTGTCCTTTTCACATAACTTATAGTAGCTAACGCCAGAGAAGCAGTAGGAGAACAGAAGGAGTACCGAAGGCTGTGGCAGCCGTACTCTTTCTGCTGTCTACTTAAATCCTCTGTTTCATCTCGTACAGCACATGCACAAAGACTTGTCACGTGCGATGGTAGATGACTTGTGTCTTAATGTGCATCCTCAGGTGCGTATGGAGAATGTGACGGTGCTGGGGAGGACGTGATCGTCAATGATGAGCTTTACCTGAACGGTGCCAACGTCCTGCCTCACAAATCCATCAACGAGTCAGTCCCGGAGCCGCGAATCATCATGTAGCGTCAGGTGGAGGAAAAATCCCAGCGCCTTTTATATGAACACTATGAGGAAGACCCAAACTGTGCCAGAGAAGAGGGAGGGACATTCAGGCAGTTGAATGGAAGCAGGAGGAGGAAGAACAAAAGGCTTCTTTGTCTTTCTTTTTATAAATTAATTTGGACTTGTTTTAGCCCTGCTTGGCTGCATTTGTCAGAAAAGGTGACGTGTGTCAAGGAAGGTTTCTTAAAGTACTGACAGGTCAAACTCTCATGTTGGCAAATATGAGAAAAGTCGAGAGAGGGGGCTTCTTGGTGGAGTAAAGATCAGTATACTGAGAGGGAAGGGGGAAGTGGGTGTGTGAATATATGAACACTGCTGGTTAGATTTACTATGCATTTACACTTCCTGAAAAGAACAATCAAACCACAGCTACAGGTTGATGTCATGACTGATGCTCAGATTCTGATCTGACTTATTGTGAAACATAATGCAGTATTGGTCACAGTTAAAGGTCCAGTGTGTAGGATTTCTGATGCTCCATTAACATAAATGTAATCCAGGATTTATAACTAGTGTTTCTACTGAAGACCAAAAAGGACAAACGGCACTGGCTATAAGTAAATGGAACTGAAGGTGCTCCTACATTGTTGTAAACAATAGACTGTATATCAAAGATGGACAATGCCACCACTGTTTGCTTGTGGAGGCTGCCACGTTTTTGTTTTTGTTTTGTTTTTTTTGGAAGTAGAATATTTACTTGCACAAAAGTGTGAAGTTGTGAGCTGGGTCCAGCAGAGGTGAAGACTAGGAAAGAGATGAGACCAGTGTCAGCACACTGTTTAATCCACGCCACACCCCAATTTTAAACCTTGGCAAAATCTTAATGGTTGTATTATATTTAAATATATTAAAATCCCTGTCCGTACAGTTGTTACCAACCTGCAAATGTGTTTATTTCTGCTCTTGTTGGAAACAAAGGGTGATTCAGTATCTTGCAATCTACAACTTCACCACTAGATGTCACTAATTCCTACACATTGGTCCTTTAAAGCCATAGCAGTTTATTATTGAGGGCAGCAGAGCAAGCTGTAAGCAACTTCATGGAAATGTGAATGTTTTGAGTTGGAAGTCATGTTTGCATCCACCTGAATGTAATTGACATCAAATAACACTCAATAATTTGATTTGTTTTTATACGGAAATACCAATGACTGCAGCTTTAATCATGGGAAATGTTGGTTAAGTCTTGATGAGCTTTCCAGGTTTCTCTGTTCTTTGAAATGGCTTGTTTCAATGTCAGACGAGTTAATGATCATCAATATGTGCTCCAATACTGTAGTGGGTGAGCTGACAACTTTATAATGTGGACAACTTTAGTCTTTAAGATTAATTTTACATTATAAATAAATATACAGCGCTGTCTAAAAGTTCCTACTCCACATGAAGTAAGCAGAAACGTGTTTTGGTTTTGTCACAAATTAGGCAATGGCCATCAGATGCAATAAAGGCAGGGATAGCTCAGTAGGTAAAGTGGTCGCCCCATGATCGGAAGGTCGGCGGTTCGAATCCACTTAACGGCTACCCTGAGGTACCCCTGAGCAAGGTACCGTCCCTACACACTGCTCCCCGGGCGCCTGCTTAGTGGGCTGCCCACTGCTTCACTGAGTGAATGGGTCAAATGCAGAGAAAAACAAGTAATTTCCCCATGGGGATCAATAAAGTATCCATTATTATTATTATTATTAATCCTCTTAAAGGTGAGAAAAGCAGATAAGGAAAGGTTTTCAGTATACTAAAAACTTCAAAGGAACAGGAGTATAAGTCATTGCTTCCTGTCAGGGTTTTCAGAGTAAAAATACTTAGATTGTAAATTAGCTTTCAGCCTCGAGGAGAAGACGCAGCCTAATTTAGGACCAGTTTCTTGCATTGTCACCAAAAATAATAGTCCTGAGGCCAAAAAGATGGAAAGCGCATGGCACCATGAAATTACTGGACCTTAAGTTGGAACCACTGACATCACTGAAGTCCACCAATGACTGACAGATTTCTTTCCAACTAAAAGTAGGGGCGTGACTCCAAAAGATCATCATATAATCTCATGACCAGACTGCCCAAAACTAAACAAAATGTATCCGACCATCAGTAAACTTTATAAACTTCATGAATTTGACATTGCATCAGTAAATCATAACATTTTCAGTATCACTAATGTTGACACTCATTCTGTGTTCAGTATTTAATTTGTACAATAATCTGTGTATATAATTAAAGAGACAACTTTCAAACAAATCTAACGCTAACATTTTAGCCATGTGTCATTTACTGCTACTAGCATAAAAATCAGATGATTTTGAGCTTTTACAAACAAATGTAAAGTAAAAGTAAACCGAGCCCAGTGTAAATCCCCTCTGTCATTAGAACTACTGAAACTTTTCTTTGACTTATTTCAGGGTCATAATTAAACACTCACATCCAAATTTCTGAGCCAGAAAGAATCCTTGGAAATGAGAAACCTTCAGTAAAGAACTGTTAATCAGCCCTGTTGTTGGTGTTTTCACATAGCAGTTTCTCCTTAACTGCTGATAAGACAGACATCTCTCCCCTGAGACAGTTTGTAAAAACAAAGTGTTTTAACTTGAAATAATTACACGCCTGAAAATCTTTTAAGGGTATCTGTTCTGCTTTTCTGGGTTTTTTTTTTTTTAAATGTTACTGGGTCAGATTTTCATATTATATGTGAACAAAATAGACGTTGAAGGTCCAGGGTGTTTTTGTGTTTCTTTACATACTAAATGGGGACAGTTCACAAGCACTGGGTAAACCCCTCTGTAGGCTTCCAAGTGCCAGCCAGTCAGCAGATGAGGGGTTTAAAGTTTGAACTGAGGGGCTACATAAGGGACTGGAATAAGAAAAATAAGGATTGTTTTTAAACTTTGAATCATTCTGTGATACTGGAGTGGAGTCAAAAAGCATAGAGCAGGAAATTAACAATATAAATGCAACAGGTCGCCTTTAAATAAATGCTCTCCTGTGGGAGGTTACTGAAACTGGTCAACAGGTTAGTCCTGTGTTAGTCCACGCTCAGTGCTGGTGTATCGATGTAAAGCAGTGATTCTGCTGTTTGTGGTGAGCACTATTAAGAGCTTAATGTGCAAAAGAGTTTGAGTGAAGGAAGTTGGTCTTTGTAAAAAAATGTTTTTAATTTCTGAAAGGAAAAATATAATCTACTGACCACTGCAACACGTCTGATCTCGTATTATTCGATGTTTAACAGGTGAAGGTCACAGTAAATCTCATGTCAGTGATAAAAATTATCACCACAGTTAGATTCGCCTTCCTGGTCTCTCTGCTTTACCCATGAAATGTAAAGGGCATGAACATGTTTTTCTTAAAACGTCACAAGCCTTTGTGAATGTTCTAATTTTAATTTAGAGATATAAAAACTTTATAGAGTCAAAGGTTGTTTATCATTTTTACCTGATGTACATAACATCTGAAAGAATGTTTTACATTTAAATCCAAATCTGTTGGTTTTACAGACACTTTTGAGCTTCGTTAGATTACTTCACTAGACTACCATAGAAATTGAAATGTATACACAATTACATTTTGTTTTTGCATCTAAAGTATATTTGTATCTAAATAATACCAATTTAAACATTAAATTGCACTAAAAAAGTCATAGCTTTTTATTATTACGTTTAGTAAAAAAAACCAACTCTTGCACACTTGACGTTTGGATGGATCAGGGTGTGTACCACACTCAAAAAGTCCCTGTTATTGGTCCAAAAACGAAAAAATATTGATGACACACAGAAATGTAAAACTACATTTTCACAGATACAATTATTAAAGCTTGTAAGACTGACTATTACCAGTTAAGCCAAGTTAGTTTATATGTAGAGCCCATTATCTCGCCTAAAAGGCTTTATAGACACATGACACAGACAAACATATTAAAACAAGAAAGAAAATATACAAGTAATAAAATCTAAAAGGCTTTCAGTGTCTTTTAACATTAAAAGAAAAACCCTAATAAGCTATTGAAATGTTTAAATTCTTAAATAAAACTCATCAAAACTCAGAGATTTCTGAGTGGAAATAAGAGCTAGCTAAACCAAAAACCTGTAGATAAAGAGGGCGTGTGCTGTTCCACTCTCACAGTCACAGGTAAAATCTTCATTGGTACTTTATTGTGCGTGCCAATGTAAGGAAACAGCTTCTCAGTGAAACTGAGTTTCACTGAGTATGTGTGTGCTGGTGTCAAGATCGAAGAATGAGAGTTTCCCTCTGTCACAGTCCAGCTGAACTTTGACCCTCTGGAGCTTCTTCACTGAGAGAAGTTTATCAGGAAGTGGTGGAGCAGCTGCTGTGTATTGTCCATCCTGGAGACATATTTCCCAGAATCCAGTCTGTAATTGTTCTTTTCTCTTAACAGACTCTATTAGCACACCGAGGCACCTGATCCCATCCTTTCTAACCTCAACATGCCAGCTGTGAGTCCCTGAGTCGAAGCCCTCGGAGCCCAGAACAATTGGATGGTGGTCGAACCTCTCTGGATTGTTGGGAAGCTGCTGTCTCTCACCGAGACTCACACTGGTCAGATCTTCTGAGAGGATGAGTTGTTGATGAGCTGTGTTTGGATCCAGAATCACTGGAGTGCAGGAGACCATCTCCTTCATGTTCTTCCAGATGTTGAAGGTTAGGTTGCCCAGGTGTTTGGCCACATCTATCAGAGCTCCTGAGACCACATGTGGTTCCTCCAGCAGGGTGCGCTGCTGGACTCTGTTCACTGCAGGCTTGATGTTTTGCAGAAATGAGACATCTTCAGCTCTCAGGTTCTCCTCTGTGGCTCTGATAGCATCTAAAAGAGCTGCTATTTTTCTGCTCAGAGCCTCCATCTTCTCCTTGATCATCTGACTCTTCTGCTCCTCTTCTGCCCTCAGAGCAGTGATTCTTGCTTTTTCTTCTTCTTGTAGAAACTGGTGCATTTTTGCAAACTTCTCCTTGATCTTCCTCTCTGTGTGAAGGGCCTGGACTTTAATGTGTTCTCTGGTTTGATCAAAGTCTCCTTTAACTATTTTAAAGTGCTTCAGTTTCTCTTTTAAGGGCTGTAGTAACACCTGAAGCACTTTTCTGTGATCCTCCGCAGCTTCTTCGATGGTTCTGAATTTGTGTTTGTTGTGT